ATTTGCTTGTCGTAGTGGGGCTTTTCTTAGATTGCGTAATTCCATTTTAAGCAATAGTACAAGAATAAAAACAAAGCTCTAGGAACTGGGTAAGGGAATCCTCATTATAAAAAAAACTAAAATGAAAATATTGCAAGAGCTTAAACAGTAGTGAAGCAAATTGCACCAGTGAATTAACCTAATGCCCAAGCAGGTTGTGTCAGTGTTTCAGGAGATATCACATTTCATGTCAAGTAGTGTATTAATTAGTACGAAAATGGCAGTTATGAACTAGCCATGTACTGTACAGATAGCACGTGTACTCTTCACTTTGGCATGCTTTCAAAAGCACTTAATGTGAAATACCTAGGAAAAATTCGTCTCTCAACTGTTTTACTTGTTCAAGTGTATTATAAAGTGTGATACCCATAGGGTGTGACTTTTATTAGTGGAAACAATGCAGTCAGGCTGGAGTTTCAAAACTATTTCAAACATTAAATCTCTATTTTAAAAAATTGTATTTAAGTTCACTTTTTTGGTAGGTAAAAACCACATGGAACTTGATGGCACATGAAGAGTTTGCCAATACATATATACTTAAAACGCACACACTTCATTGTTTGTTTGTTTATTATTTTTTCCAACAGTAAGATTTAGCAGTACTTAATGCTTTTTGAATCCAGGTATTGAAGAGAGATGGCCACACAGCAATATTTGAATGTGTTCTGTCTTCCGCTCATCTGTTTTGTTTTTTTTGTAAATTGTGAAAAGCCTCAGAAATCCTAATTGCAGAAGCTATTCTGTGTAAAGAGATGGTTGAATAGCACAGTTAGGGACAAAATACGTGGATTTGCAGAGTGTGCATAATAAAACTGTAGCAGAAGAAAGTCAGCCGTGATGATCAGGTGAATTCTGAGGTTAAAAGTTTATTCAAGAATCCTGGTTCTTCAAAACATTATCAAGAATGTCTTCTCAGAAAGCTGCGTTTCGGATGGTTCTATTGTGTTGTGTTGCAATTTCTGGCATTGATCATCATTTGGTGGAGCTTTTCCTACTTGAATGGTGTCTGTAAGTGGGGAAGCTCCAATTCGCTTACAGAGTGGGGCCGATATAGTTGGAATATTTGACTGCTGTTTTTCCCAAGTATCCCTCAGGTGGACCAGAAGTGTTTGTGCAGCTTTGTGTGTATTTCTGACACATTTCAAATGGAGGTTTTTGGCAGATGTGATGGCTGTACTCCATAGAGGGTAACCAGGAGTGTATAAATTCCCTGGCAGCTGAAGCTTTAAATCTGCAGCCACCAAAAGTGTCTGCCTCTGTCTCTGAAGTTCAGCCATGTGGATCATCAGTACACAGCAAGCGCTGGACCTTCTAATCCTCCCTGCTGATTGTGTTACTGCTTAAGCTGTGGGAGTAATTTTCCTCTTCTCTGTGGACCAGGCTGATGGAGGCTCTAAGAAGAAATGTATTTGCTAAAAGCTCATAGTTCAGCAGTAAGAATCTCATCTGCATGTTTGTTTTGGGGAGGTGGGAGTAACAATGCGTAGGAGTGAAGGAACCAAAGCCATGCCTTTAAGACAGTTAGAAGGAAGGGCAGCATAGCTGGGACTTGTCTGTAACTCTGCGAGAAGCCAGCTTGGGCAGCTTGTCCGTTAGTTTTGGGAAGGGAACAGGGAGGAATACTCGATTGCTCCCAAGGGGCAGATTTATAAACAAAGGTAATCTATTTTATTGATGTAGTTGATACACAGGAACATTTATTTCTAACCAAAAAAGTATTTTTATTTATTGTGTTTGGCATAATGGCCCCTCCATTTTTGCTGGTTTGGGTTTTTTGCCATCTAGACTAAAAAGGTCTGATGCAGTCATTATGCCAGTCTGCTCTGAAACTATAGCGTCTGCCCCTCGCTTTCCCTGAGGGGATTGTGCAGTGTGACTATATGGAATAATTGTGGCACTTCTTGGTGTGTTGTTACTCTTCTTATGTCGCTCATGGTACTGAACTTAATGCCAAAGGTACCTTTGCATTGCTGCTGAGTAGATGCCTATCACGTTAAAGTCCTCATTGCCTGAGCCCTTTTATGTTACGTAGCTCACTGGGACAGTAACTTTGGGAATTGATGCTCGTATCATTTTAAAGAAAGTTTGGGATTTTTACTTTATCTCTGTCAAAACCAAGTTTTGTGTGAGGTATTAGAAATACTGTTGGGGGAATGGTGAAAGATTCTTTAAAGCTGGAACACGGGATTTTGGCAAGCAAATAATTGATTGTTCCTGGAATTGAACCATACCCCTTATGAGTTCTTAGTTTTAAAATCTTACGGATGAGTACAGTTGTGTGTTTCTAAATCCCTAAGAATAGGTTTTTATGTCAAAAATAATTGCATTACTTCAGAGGGAGGGATTAAGGTGGAACAATCCCAAATCCTATCTACTTTAGAAGTTTTATGAGTTCTGTGGCACTCTAATCAGTAAAGTGGAATTGCTAAATTATCTTCCCTTCGTATCCTCCAGAAACAGAACTTCAGTCTATTTATATGTTAGTCCGAAAAAACCAATGCGCATTAGTTTTTCTTTACCATGAATATGGATTACTTCCCTTAGTAGTGCCTGTATGTTTCATTCGTGTAAATTTCTAAGAATATGCGTTTCATGTTTTACAACTGCAAAGCTCTTATAGTGCCTTTCAAATAATACAGGAGAAGGATTAGGGATGGAGGAAGACATTGTGTGAATAGACACAAACAAAATAGATGTGCTGTGCCAAATTTTTCACATTCCAGCCTTTATGTGATGTTCTGCTTTAAAGATTTCCTTGCAAGCAGCTGTTCTTATAATTTTCCAAGGATAAATTCACGCTGTATTGCAAATGGAGTATCTCCAGTCTGCTTGCTCTAAGTTTGTTTGTAGTGAAAATCTCCAACAATGCAGTCAATTTCAGATTATAATTTTTAGGGTAGAACAGTTATGAATAAAGCAATTAATCCACATTGGATGGCGGTTTCTCTAAGAATTGTTAGGAGGTTTGTGTGTGTGCAATTTGACATTAGATTGAGAAGCAAAGAGCAAAAAAAACCCACCCTGAAATTGTCATACTTGTGAATTGTGTTCTGGCTGAAGCTTAAAACGGAACCTGCAAAGTCAATCCTAGTTGCTTTTACAGATTTTCTATTTCTTTCGATGAAACCTGGGCCAAATGAAGAGCTCATGCTAGGACTTTCCAATTTGAAAGGTAGGAATCTGGCACCGGAACGTTATTTAGGGAATCATTTATGATTTTGGAAACAAGTTCCTTTATTAGTTCTCCAGGTGCCATTGCATATGCTTAGCTTCAAAGGAAATGTTTTTCTTTTCGGATCTGGCTGGCTTGCACTTCCAAGATTTAGGAGAAGGAGCAAACCTTTATATGCGTAAGATCTTGAAAGATACAAGTTGTAGTCTTTACTTCCCATTTTCCCTGATGTTCTCTCCTCTGAAATAAATAATTTTTTAATGTGGGAAGCAAACTGAATTATAAACATACTCACATAATATACATATTAATATACATGATATAGATGAATTTTTCTCTTTTGCTTCAGTCAGCTCTTGAAACCTTTTCTTGATTGTTTTGTAACTCTCTTTGGGAGAGAAAGACTGTGCCTCTCAGCTTATGGCTCTGCATGTTTGTACATTAAGTGAGCAGTCAATTAAATGAATTAAAATATATGGTTTAGTTGTTTCCTGAGCAGGTTAGATTAGAAGTGCTTGAGCATAAGCTGAAATTTGGTGCTTATGCAGTTATTCCTCTTAGGCTACATGGTCCCCCGCACTTTATTGAAGATGTGGGTAACTTCCCACTGTAAGAAGAAATACATTCTTTAATGTGAGTGGAACAATTAAGTAGCTGGTTCATTTTATAGCGTGTTGTGTTCTGTGGTAAGCAGTAAGCATGTATAACAGGATTCATTAATTTCTCCTCCATTATTTCACATGTGAGTTGTTCTAGATATTTTTTGTTTATAGCACAAGCCAGTGTTCCTCAAGGTAGTTTGTCTTTGGTCTCTCTCAAAACAGCTTTACCCTCCTTCCCAGTCACAATCCCCATTTGTGCACCTGTATTGGCATTGCTTTTTCTCGCCACGCCTTCCCAAACACCGCGTCTTTTCTCCCAGCTTTCCTGTCAGGGGTCATATCTCACAGTTAAAGGAACGTTAGTTTAACTACAGGTTCTTGGCTTTCGCCCAGATATACTTAGGCCAGCGCATTTCAGTAATGTTTCTTGCAAATGTGCGTTATTTGAAAACATTTCTTCTGTTGATTTTTTGGGAGCTGTTTTGTCTGACTTTTTTTAAGATGGCTTTTAATTTATCTAACACTTCACACAACAAAGTTGGAAAAAATTAGTGTGACTGTGCAAACTATAGAAAACTTCTTAGGCAAACTTGTGAAGTGCATGAGAGAAGTAAGAACTGGTTCCCTTCTGTGCCATGCTTTGCTGCATTGAATTCCTGGGCTTGACTCAGAGATGTAAGATTTTCACGGTAGGCAGCAAACAGTGTAGATTAAATTGTTGTTAAATCGTGGCTTTAAGAACTGTCTGTTCCTTAAAGCAAGGCAGTTGACATACATTCAGTGAACAGCTGCATGGAGCCATGGTGCATACAGAACAGTCACACTGTAAAGATTTCTGTAGTATTTCTGCCTTACAGTAATTTCTTATCTCTCTGTAAGGTAACTTTCCACATTGCCTTTTTCTGAACAGGAACTAAAATAGCCCAGAATGAAGCATAATGAAAAGGCATTTCTACTGTTTGGATTTTTTGTGTTTTGGTTTGGTTTTTTTAAGATAGGTTATGCTGCATTTAGTAATCTTCACTCAGCACATTTTACCCCCAAAATCTGAAAAGACCCCCATGAAGCTGGCATATGAATACACATGCATAGCTTGAGGGACTTCCTCATCCTCTGACAGTCATCAGCTGCTAAATTCAATAGCCTTTCGTGATAGGAGGAACTTGAGAAAACCTGATCTGGTTGAAATGACAGAAGAATTTGTTCAGACGAAATGTGATTACCTGTGTGGGAAGTCAACTGCAAAACTGTGGGTAATGTCATGATTTTGTGAAAAATGAGATATTTAATAAACATGAAAGGTCAGGTCATTTTATATACAAATCAAGTAGGAGTTCCTTGTATTTGGCTTAGGAAGGTAAGTATTACGTGTTACTCCTAAACAAAAGTTTAAGTTTCTCAGATTTATATGTAAAACAGCCCTTTTGTTTGTTTGTTTGATTTTACCTGGATTACAGCTCTTAGTGCTTGGGCTGTCTGTACAGTCCTGGTTTTGAATATTTTACTTCCTAGAGGGTTTTGACTGTCAGTTAAGTGAGCACATTTTTTAAAATAATAATGTTTTTTTTCTGAGCCATGGGGCTTAAATTGGGGTAAGAAGCTGTATTCTGGGAGACGGAGAAGCAATGTGCTAAATGTGGCCATGCCTGACAGTTCTAAACAGAGGAAGGTGTATTGTGCCTGCCTCAGGTCACCAGGCATCTGCTCCCTGGAAGGCTGAGCTGCACCAAGGCAGTCAAATTATGTGTGTTCACATTAAAGAAGGGCTCCTTCAGTTCAGAGGAAGGCCTGATTGATCTACCAGACAACCTAATACTCTGTCTGAAAGGGACAATTGTGTAAAAGTAGTGTGCTAACACCTGGAGATGGACCATTGAATTTTCACAAATAACATTGAAGAGAAATTGGGATCCCTGAACATGATAGGCTGTTCTTGAGAAGGATGTGTTAGGGAAGAACCAGCTACCCAACTTGTGTAACAAGAGGGCTTGGATGGAACATAAAGTTCCTTCATGCTCAATACTGATGTTTTTCTTTCCTCCCCAATACATAGTTTATAATGAAGTAAAACCAATGCTTTACCTTTCATACCTCAGGCCTGATCCAAGATGTGATGCTCTGAAGACATATTCAGCAACTGCAGCTGAACTTGCATGCAGTGGCTCTAAAGATGCAGGGTAACAGTGAGTAGCTAACAACAAAGAACCTGCAAAATCTGGTAGTTTCTTGTAAATCATTATGTTGCTTACATAAGAACATGGCAGATGCCAACTGATTAAAATAAGTTTTAAAAAACGTTTTGAAGAATCTACGTCCATGTTTCAAATATGAATTAGGCACCGAGAAGCTTATTGCTCCTTGAATTCACTTTTATTAAGATTTAGTTCTCTGATGCCGATGAGATGTTTTTCAACATATTATTCCCATAATTTGTGCATGGAGTGCAGGAGCATACGTATACATATAAAGAGAAACCTGACCAAAATTTATGATTGGAATTGTCAGTTACACCAAGGATATAGTAGTAACAGTACAAACCTATCGTAGCAAACATTAGCATGGATTATGTGTTTTGTTATATTCTGTTGGAAGCAATCCAAAATGCGGGCGTATAAATGGTACAGATAATTAATCTCTTTACTGATGACTGTAGAAATAGAAAATATTTTAACTTGGTTGAAAGCATCAAGAAAGCTTTGAAAAGAAAAGAGCAGATGTCACATAGAAAGCTTTTAGTTTACTGAGCAACGAGTATGATAAACATAGATTATTCATCTTGATGTTAAGAGTTCAAACACAATTGTCCCTTCAGTTTGCCTCACGGGAGCATGAAATTAGGACCATGTGTGCATTGATTAACAACATATGAAAGATGAATCGTGATTACTGTTTTGGTCTGGTGCACAAGGCTATGCTTGAGGGGTTGTGATTTCCTACCTCCTTTACCAGATCTCTGTAATCAGTGCCAGCATTTCCCCCTGTTTCCTAGTATTGATGTTAAAGCGACTGCCTGACAGAGGGTACTCACGTACGTAAATGGCCTTCATTGAATGAAAGAGTATTGGCTCGACAAAAGTTGAATATTGGGGTATGTTTCAATATTATTTGTATAAATGGCCATTCACAGGACAATTCTGAAATCACCAATGTCATCTCTGGTGGGAGTTTTCAAATAGGAAAAATAGATGTTACTTTCAAATAGGAAACACTATATGTGCTTGACTGGAAGGAAGAGGGAGTTCAACAAGAAAAATCAAGCAGACTTTTATTTCCATTGTATTTTATTTATGCCTCTGATGGTAAGCCTTAGTTAAATTTAGCTTTTCTTGGAAGCTTATTTGGTGTCTGTGGTTAAAATTTCTTTTAGCTTTATTTCTGGAAATGTAATCCTGACTTTGTTCCTCTCTGGCTTAGTAGTGAGTAGAAAGAGTTGTCGTGTGTTTCATTAATAAGTTGTTACTGTAAATGAAGGAATGGTGTTAGAAAAATATAAACTGACAAAAACCAGATTAACTATGTGTAATAGTCTTTGATTCTTTTAATACTTGTGCTCTTCTTTGTTGAACGATCAATATTTAAATAAAAGGAAATGCCTGCACATGCTTTGACCATCCAAATGGGTTACGCATTGTTCAGGAGATGGTATGTATTAGGGCTATTCAGAACTGTGATTATTTAAGATGTCTTAGGGTCTTCATCTTAATTGTCCAAGTTGTTCGTGTGAATTGAGGAACAGATCCAATGTGAGGTATGTTATACATGATGGAAATTCTTCCTGGCTTGCTTGCCCAATATAGATGCAGGATTTGGATCTCAGTTTATCATGGTTTTTTGTGGAGCTCTGTGCCCAAAGCTCATATAATGTGAGCTTTAATGTTATTATGAAAAACACACAACCACCCACCCTCACCTCCCTGCTTTTTGAGAATCAAGATTATTTCTAATTGAATCTGTGTGCATTTCAACTTTGATTATCTGTTTAAAGATCAGTGGTCTGTAGGTCTTCATAAAAGATGTTTTGGTGGTTTTCTTTCCTATGTATTCCTTCTCGGTCACTGTGTATAGAAGTATGTGGACCAAAGGGATTTTACAGGCAATGCAGACTTGCTTTGCAGTAGCGTTCAGAATAAATTAAAAGCTGCATGTGAATTCAGCAAATGTTAGTGGTTAATTAACTAAGAATGTGGAGCCCTAAGGCCATCGCATTAGTGTTTATAGTTTTAAAGTAAGATGCTCTAAACAAGTTGTCTTAGCAATAAGCTATATAAATAGCACAGTTATTTTATGGCTTAAATACAAGGAAAAATGTGGTTTAAACTCACAGCAATAAGTCCTTTATTGTGATAAAAAAGTTTATCACAATACAAATTTTCTAACTAGATTGCATGGTTTTATTTTTAACTCATATGACAGTTCTCTAGTTCACCACTTTAAGGTGACTCTAATTCTCTCCCAAGTTACTGCAGCCTTTTTCTATCTTTCATATACTTGGGAGCTAGG